TACAAGATCTTCTTCTTCCAATGCTACAGTTGGGAACATTGAAAATGAGTACATCAGAAATCTTCAGCAACAGATTTATTTCCTTGAATTGGAAGCTAACTATCTGTATCCTTTCATTGATCAACGTTTTTTCTGACCTGGCCGGCATATGCATGTGTAGGAATGTTCACCCAACGGTACTCCCATATGAAAAGGGTTCCACAGGGATGCTTGTTAATTATCTCACTTAGAGGTTTTAAAATCAAGGATTCTGGTCTTAAGGTGTTCATGATAAAATGCCACTATTTTTAGCTATCAAAGTATTCTTTTAGGGTGCCCTCAAAGAAATGATGATCAAAAACGCTCTAACTTATTTCTGTTTTTAGGCTCGATTCTGCCAGTCCCTACAGTTTGGTCTCTTAGCACAGGCTCCTGCCCTGAACAGCAGCTTGTAATTGGGCCTATTCCTTTTTAAGTGGTATCTTTTAGGGGTCAAATATGGCTTTAGCCATGCCCAGAGTGGTCTCTGTCATATCAGTGTATGAAACGTCAAAGAAACCAGATTATTACAATATACACTCTATACATTTGTGTACCATCACCACAAACTGTTTTTGTCTTTTTTCAACAAGTCCATGAAATTCTTTCCCTTAACTTGTAAATTATCATCAGACGTGAGCAGGCACGAAAAGCTTCAGGTGAGAGGATTAAAATAAATATAAAATTTTTCCTATTTTTTAAAGGGATGAACTTTAAATTTCTCCATATACTATCACTACTTGATTAAGCAGCCATGTTGTGAGAATATAGCAAATCAACAATTTCTTGATAATGCCTTCACATAGTATCAAGTTCTTTGAACTAACATTAAAAGAAAATTCAAATAAATTAACTGGCAAACCTCTCTACAAAATCATTTTCCCAAGGAGTTGAGCATTTGCTGTTAAACTTTAATTTTTTGGCATTAATCTTCAAGCAGCAATCCCTCCTCGAGTCACTGAGGAAGCAGACCGTATGATGCGGAAGCTGAGGGATCTTCAGGCTCAGGTGGATGAACGATCTTCTGATGTCGTCAGGAAAGAGTCGCAAATGAACATGTTGGAAGCTGAGAAAGATGCCGCAGTCAAAAGGCTTAGAGATGCTGAAGGTACATTTCTTAGCTAAGTTGAAGGCATAGCTTGATTTAACTAAAACTTTTGAACCTGAAGTAGTAAGACACTTCCCTATCGCCTCATTTGCCACTGTTTTGTTCTTACCTCATTTTGACGTCATCTGTGATCTATTACTGAACAGATGCATAGCAACCAGGAATCTATTTGTTAAGCTGACAATGCATATATTTTATTATCCTAGAGTCACATGCAGCCGAAAAGCGACAGTTGGTAAATGAGGTAGTGTCACTGAAAAAGATGTCTGACCTTCATGAGCGTGATTGTGCCAGACGAGACCTACAGGTTCATCAATACAAGAATGAAGCTGATAAAGGACTCACTGCTTTACAAGAAGCAGAGAGAAAAGTACAGAACTATAGAATAGAGGTGTGTTAGAAATCAGGTTAATTATCTATCACTTTTTTTAAGTTTTTACTTCATGCACATTAAATGAAACCCTAAAATTAATTCAGGCATTCATTCAGTTGGACTTTTTATTTTACACTGCCAATTTTGGACTAGTTTTATTGTGAATTGGGACAAATTCCATCAAAAGTTCAAGCACTGTATAACCAGAAATAATTATGGATTGCCAGCAAATAAACTAAGTATACATGTAGCTGAAGGTGAAGGCTGAGAAAAATTAATAAGCTCTAAAATAAACTGTAAAAATCCTTGACTTCAAGTTCTTTTTTTAACTGTTGAAAACCCCGGGGTGGGAC